GTGCCTGCCTGGCTTCCATTGCTCCCAGTGGGTCCGGACATGCTCTATGCCAGGAACAGGCCCTACCACTAAAAAATCTGCAAGGGGAATGGTGGCCATCTTGACTGAGGGCATTCCTTGGCTTCAGTCTGCTGAGGAGAACGGAAGAAGTCAGACATGCTGAATAAGGGCAGCAACTGCTCACATTAAACACGCCATCGCGAGGTGGTAAAACCCTTGACTCTCCAGCCCCTAGGAACAGCATGCAACTCAAGCTACATCTGCAAGTGTGGACAACTCTGTGGCTGGCCGGGTGTTCATTTACTTTGCTGCTAAGCACTGGGCAGCAACTTAATTTTCAGGAGGCTTGGCCTTAACTTTTCCTGAGGCAGAGAGGGCTGAGTCATATGGGGAAGTGTCACATAAAGATTTGAAGCAGAAGACAGAGTCAGTCTCCGGCCAAAGCTGAATGTATCCAGCTCTCCTGGGGAGAATGAGGTGAAACTCACCCCCAGCCCGCACGCAAGATCAACATGCCGCTTATGCCCCAGCTAGACGATTTGCCAGGTGTTGCTCGGGTCCTTAGCTCAAATAAGTGTTTTGTTTTTCTTCACTGGGATCACTGCTCTGGGGTGGTGCTAGGGAGGAGGGGGTCAGTCTGCAGGCTGCCCTCGGGAGACAGGACAACCCCAGCCCTCTCTCACTACAGAAGCTCGGGGCCAGGTGAGAAGTGCCTCTCCATGGCCGCTGCAGCTCCAGCAGGCACAGCCAGGGGAGGGTGCATGTCAGACAGACACACAGACAAACAGTCACACAAACGGACAAACTTTCTGAAATACATAGGAGATAGCTGTCCCTTTCTCCACCCCTGCCTCCTGCTGGGGTTACAGCAGTCCCTATCTCTGGCCCCTTGCTGCCCCCCAGTGGTCATTCTGCAGTAGAACGGTCCCTTCTGCCAGACCCCTCCCTGTCCATTCTATGAGAAACAATCCCATTCCAGGCACATCCCCTTGTCCTGGCACAACCAAACCCTGACCTTGCTTTAAGTCAGGATAAAAGGAAGCTGCCTGTCCCATTCGGTGGTCCTAGCTCTGACCGTGTAGGAGCGGTTCTTGGACAGACGGACTGCCAGACAGACAGAGGCACATGTCTGAAACCTATTGTAAGATGATTACAGCCCAAGGGATCTCTGTGCAGGGGTGAGTTTCTCTCAGTCCGTCAGGGAACAGAAAGAGGCTCTCATGCTGCAGTGAGTGGCAGTCGTCTAGCCTGCTAAGGGGCAGAGGCGCGTCCCTTCTCCTCGTGTTTCACAGAGGGATCGAGGCTGCTGGCCCCTGAGCCATGTCATTTCCTGGTCGGGACGATCAGCCTTTGCCCAGACTCCAGAGACACCTGCGCCTCTCTCTCTCCTTGCAGGTATGTGAAGAGCCAGCGATACACCCTTCAGGCGGATTACGTCCCGTACATGGATGAAGTGGCCTGCCTGGCCGGAGTCCAGCCCAAGCTGCTGTCGCTCTTCCTCACGGATCCAAAGCTGGCCATGGAGGTTTTCTTTGGGCCCTGCACGCCGTACCAGTACCGCCTGCGAGGGCCGGGGAAGTGGGATGGAGCCAGGAACGCCATCCTGAGCCAGCGAGAACGGATTATTAAGCCTCTGAAAACCAGAGTCCTAGCTAAGGATACGCGTACCTTGGAGCCTCGCTACTTGTGGATTTTTCCCATTGTTGCTTTAGCTGCTGTAATTTTTGCTTATTTCCAAGTGTTGTTGTTCAAGCCGTGAGCCCAGTTCATGGTTTGCCTTCTTTCCTGGCCTAGGACGGGAATTTCTGCGGTCAGCTACCTCCGCGAGGCACGCCTGCCCTCAGCGTCGGGTACACTGGCTCTGATGCAGATACAAAGGGTGCACAAGGCCTGTCAAGCCCACTCAAGCCCTGTTTTGCAACCGCACAACAAGAGATCTAACCAGAGAAATCCCCCCCCCC